TGAATAAATCTATCAGCAATCCTAATAAATATAAACATTAAATTCACCTGTTAAAAAATAGAGATTATGTGACTAGAAATATAAATTCTATCTGTATGCCTTTTACAGGCAGAAATGACAATGACTCCTCAAAATTGAAATAAGATTCTGGGGGAAAATTCCAGGTAAAAGACTAAAGAAATAAAGGTAGAAAGGCAATATTAAATAGAAGAAGTAAAATTGAAGGCAATAGTATTAGGCAAAAAGGGCCATTATTTATTGATAAAAAGAACAATGACCCAAAAAATAATCCCAAACTCGCATGTACCCAAAAGCATAGCCTCAAAAATATATAAAGACAAATAATGAAATATATACGCAAAGAATTATTAAATATCTCAATCATGATGGGTATTTTGAACACATATTTATCAAAAACTGATATAGAAAGCCTACAATAATTAGAAAGTATAAAATGCTTTGAAAAACACAATTAATAAGTTCGTTCTAACGGACACATACAGAATCCTGCCCCCAATAATTAGAGGAAAAACAGGTAATTACCAGAGAGTGGCCACCACCCAGTCATGACAAATACCAAAGTATTCATTTTATAGCACAATGCTATATAGTCAGAAATTTAAAAACCAAAACAAGATAACAGAAATTCTATCATTTTAGAAACTAAAAAGCACTACAACATAGATAGGGAAAGGTAGGTAGATAGATAAGATACATAAAATATGTGAGAGGCCAACTAGATAAATAAATAAGAGATATAAGATCATACTATAAAAAGTTTCATAAACTGCTTTTGTCATTTAATAGATTGTGCTTCTCTTTCCATGATAATAAAAATAAATCCATATCATTTTAATAATTGTATAGTATTTCATTGTCTGCATGTACCATAATTTATTTGTTGTTGAATCATTGGCGAGTCAACATTTTGGTTATGTGGGAGAAACTGCAGGTTGACCTCTAAAGTCTCTTCTTCCTTATTCACAAGACTCTTTGTTTTTAGCCGGGCAGGTGCTGTTTGGAATAAAGGCTTATTTCCCAGTTTCCTTTGTAGTTAGGTGCAACCATGTGACCAAACTGAAATGTTATGTTCAACTTCCAAGAACTGTCCTTAAAAAGAACTGTGCCTTTCTTCTTCATCCTCCTAATGGCTAGAGTATGGATGACATGCTCGGAAATCAAATAATGATCTTGAACCGCAGGTAAAATCTTTATATTGAAGAGACTGTAGACACAGATAGAAGGAGCCTGAGTCACTGTGGGTCATGCAGTTGCAATCTTAGCTATGGAATGCTTATCTCAGTACTTTACTACATGGCAGGAAAATAAATTTCTCCCTATTTAAGCTCTTATTTGGGGTTTTCCTGAATAACACATATTTTCCCAAATATTTTGCTATAATGATCAGTTGTTAGAAGCATTTCTTTATGCATTTATTTTCCTACATCAGCTAATGAAATGTACAAGTTCTTTTAAAGGCTTCCGAGTACTCCCCAATCTCACTCCATAATACCGTACGACATTACACTTTCACCAGCAGTGGATGAAAATGTCCCATTTTTTCATATCCATTCCAACGCTAGGTATCATTCTTTCCAATCATTGTTAATCAGATAGACTTTCTGATTACTAGGATGGTTAAACATTTTTAAAGATTCGTTTGTAGTTTGTATTCATTCTTTTTTTGTGTTGTTTTTTAAAGGTTCTTTGCTCATTCTTCTATCAAGGCATTCTCTTTCTAATTGTTAAAAAGACTCTTTATATGTTGAATATTTATGTATTATAAATGTTTTCATCAGTCAGTTTATTATCATTAAGCATAGTTTATGGTATTTTTACGAAGAGTTTTAAAACTTTATCAGGATTTTTATTCCTCTTTATTTTCTGTCTGGTACCATTTTTAGAAAGGCCTCTCTTCTGACAGATTCTAGAAATATTAGCCTACAATTTGCACCAATATTTTCAATGTTGTTTTGGTTTTATTTGATTTACTTTGAAATTGTTAATCTCTCTGGTATCTACTTTGCTATATGGTAGGAATCCAAATTTTTATTTTTCCAAATGGATGATCAAATATTTTAATTTTTATAGAATAAGTCATTCCTTATCTCCTGATACAAAATGTTCTCTAAGAAAAACTATATTCTCCTAATGTACATGGATCATTTTTAAACTCTGTTATGTTCTATTGATATTCATATGCTACCAGTGCCATAGCTTTAATTATTCTACTTTTTGAATATCTGTATAACTGATATGCTAATAAATTTTTAAAAATTTCTCAAGATGAGTTTTAGAATGCTTTTTTAAAAAAATTTTTTAAATAATAGATCTATGTTTTTAAAAAAACATAAACCTATGACAATTGGGACTTTTATTTGAATTTCATTATAGTTTTAGATTGATCTGCAAATATTTGACACTTTTTCATTATTGACTCATCAATGTGATATTGACATGACCCAATATGATATTTCTTTTAATTTTTAAATTAAGTCACTTCGATCTTTTTCTAAGATGTTATCATACTCTTGAAATTAAGTAGGTCATGAAGCCTCTTGTAAATGTTACCGTTTCGATGTGTGAGAAAGTTGTAAAAGCAGCCTTTGCCTCCGATATGCTTATATTCCACTAAAGATAATTAAGACTGCATTGAATTGACATGAAGTCATGTAAGACAGAAATAGAACTCTCTATAAGTCATTTGTAAATACACCGCTCTGTATTTACATTCTGCAAAGCTGGCTGGAATGACAAATGACAATAAGAACAGAATGGGATTGATCTGGAGAGGACGAAAGGCATTGTAGATGGCAAAAGCAAATTATTTTTGCAGGAAGCAAATTATGAGGCAGATTCACATGTGTTCTAGGCTAGCACAGATAATATGAATGTACAATCATTTTTTAAAAGGGAAATTAGGGAGAAGGGAACCAACTGTTAGAAACTCTTTCAACATGGACCGGCAATACGGATTTTATGTGAGCAAAAATTTGGACCCATTATGGTTTCTGAAAATGAATCTGAAAAATCAAAATGGTGCTTAAGGAAGGTAATTCCCACTGCAATGAGCACACAAGTTTGGATGAAAGCTAATTAACAGTCTGCTTAGGGAATTGGTGCGATAATTTATTTTGGAATTTAATTTATTTACTCAATAATTTTTATAGAACATTACCCATTATGTGCCTAGTATTGTGTCAGCGTGAAAATGACTTTGTTTGCAGCCTCACATCTATTTTTATAAGGCCTTCGCGACAGATATCTAATGACACCACTTACAAAGAGGGAGACATTCCCCAGGTACTTCCGTACTTTGTTCAACAGAAATTTAACTGCCCAAGTGGATGTGTGATTGATGTTATTCAATGATTAATGCAGCAAACTCTCTACTTTACCCTCTGCAGCAGAAATCTCCATTTAACCCCTTGGGATACGTAAGTGCCTCATTTCTTAAGAAACTACAGTGAGATTAGGGAGAAGGGAGGGCTTCAGAAAGCAATTAGGAAGAGGGCAGTTTAATCCATCCTTATTGAAAAGCAGCTTCAACCAAGGTACTGCCTACTAAAATAGACTCTAACCTACAAAGGAGTTTGCAAGAAAATTTGATCAAATAGGAAAAAAAGAGAAATTAATCAAATGGCTATTAGAACAACCTATTTCTCTCCGTTTTTTTTTTCAATGCATTGAGTCCAATAACAGAAAATCTCATTGAAATAAGCATTTCTAAGTATGTCACAGTTGCTTCTCTGTCTGCAAAAGCCACTTTTCTGTAACGTGAATACTTTTTTGGTCAATATATAACTGACATCTACATGATATGAAGCAAAATACTTTTGCTTCTGGCTGTTGCTGCTATTTAGAACTGAAAGAGTTATGTGGAATTGGATCTCTCCTACAAGAGCGAGCTTCCAAATATTTGCTTTATTTTGTGCCTTTAATTTCTCTCCATTTTCCCTTACTTGTAATTAGTGGCTGCTAAGTGAGACAGTATGGGAGATGACAAAGTGCCACACTTAAGCCTAAGTTTTTTTATACAAGCACATTTAATTTTTGCTTTTTAAGCCCACTTTCTCCTCAGACCTGATGTGTACATGTCCCTAACTAAGCATCTTCTTCTGACCTCAGAGACAACTTTAACTCTTTAGTCAACTATTAAAAAGGAATCTCTTCACCAGAGGTGCCACGAGGGAGAAAAGAGAAAAAGGGACTGATGACATGCCTAATGTTGCTGTTATTTTTGGAAAAGGCCTATGTGTTGTGGTCCCAGATTTAGTGACCATTAAAACAAAATACTTAATATAGGTAAAAATGATTTACACTATTGGTAATACATTTTTATAAGAATAATATGTGCTCATGGCAACAAACAATCAAACGAAAAAATAAACACAACAGAACTAGAATGACAATGGCAAAACCAAAAAGAAAGAAAGAAAATAGCAGAAATGGTCTGGGACAGAATAATGTACAAAGCAAAAGTACTTTCCACTCTCCCACTGCCAAGTGTTTTTTCCAGAGCATATACATAAAATATGTATATATTTTAGACAGGATTATGTTATACAAATTCTCCAACTTACTTTTTTTTTGCACAAAGCAATTTATCTTGGGCTTCTTTCTAGCAGCACGTATAGCTCCATATCGTTCCTTTGAACATCTGCATGCAAGCACAGATGTGCCATAACATATAAGAGAACGCCGTCCTAATTGATAGGCCTTCAGTGGGTTTTTTTGGCTATTTACACATCATGTGGCAATGATTATTCCCGTTCACGCATGTAAAAAAACTATAGAATAAATTTCTAAATGGAATTGAAAGAGCAAAGGATGTATTTAAATTTAAAGGTAACATTTATATGTTAAAGTTTAATACATCCTGCCAAATTGCTCTCTAAAAAGGTTGTATCGATTCACACTCCTACTGATGGTGCCTGAGACTGCAGATTTCTCACACCCACAGCAAACATTTCCATCCCTGGCAACACAAAGGAGGGAAATTCACTTCTCGATTTTAGAAGTTTTCAATTTCTTCAATTATAACTAAGCTTGAATATCGTATATGTTTATCAATCAGTTTTTTTTTTCCTGAAAAGAAATTGTTTATTTAAAAAGATATTCCTAGTTTCAATAGTAGAGCCTTCATCTGGGGTGAATTTGATTTGAAATCATTTCTATTTATATCTTTCACTAGGGAAAGTGGATTTAATCAATTTTCCAAAGAAAGCGCATTCTACTTAATTTAATCTTGATAGTTGTTTGATGTAACTTTAATACGCCAGTCATTTACCTCAAAGATACATTTATGTTTCAGAAGAAAGAAGAAATTAGGAAAAAACAATGAAAAGTCAAAGAATGATGACCATCTTCATGTTTCATGAAATCTTTAGAATAAATTAAGAATATAAAGGCATAGAACATTCATAAGGATTTCAAGTCTTGCTCAGAACTATATCCTTAAATACTTCGCCGAATTTTAAAAATAAATTCTATTTCAATTCTCTCTTTGGAGTGTATCTTCATAGGTGGATCCTGGTGTCTGGGGACCAGGGACAGGGATGCTGTTAAGATGTAAGGCTACAAGATGTTCAACGGGGTTGTAAGGTGAGCGTTTATACGGTGTGGGATGTAACCCCTCATTATGCCACCACAGACCTTTAGTAAATCTTTAAGAATATCAGTCTGATTAGTTTTCTTGTGGAAGCCAGTGAATAGAAAGAGTTTATGTCAAGGTTGCTGAAACAGCACAGCAAAGATGAAAAGGACAGCAGATACTTTAGTAACATATACAAAAATAAATGGTGCTGTGGTGTGCAACAATTCTCAAGACACGGTGCCCTGCCTATCTGGACCAGCAACCAGGACTCTCTGCAAACACGCTCCGTGATGAAATCCTCCCAAAGCCTCTCTCTGCAGGTGACAGATTAAGGAAATCACATGAACATAATCCTCAATAGAATTTCAGGTCTTAAAAGAGCCTAAAGTTAAAATTATCGTGTTTTCTAAGTCAATCAAGAAAATTTTTTCTGCAAAAAAGAGACATTAAAGTCTATTTAATTTTCATAGTCAGGCTTTAAAGGAAAAATAAGTTCCGCTATCTACACTGTCTCTGCTTCACTATCAAATATTTCAGGCTATTTGGATTGTTCTTAAATCAATTAAACAACACATCTGTTATAATATATATCTAATATTTAATAGTAGTGGGTGAATATTGTCTTCAAGCCTCTCAATTAATGTCAGTAATTTCTCTCTGTAAGGTTGAACTCACTGGGCATACTTGAATGGAGTCTATACACTGTGAAAGAAAATGAAATCCCTTGGCGAGAACTCTCTGACTCCAGCAGTATTTACTCATTTGCATATTGGTAGTGATCTGCACACTAGTTAAAGATGTCATAAATGCCCAACATTTATATTACCAAGAAGGAGAAATTAGATGATGACAGGATGTATGTGAAAGCACTTAATAAAGCATCAACAAAATACAGTCCTCTAGTATCGAGGTCAGACAGAAGCTATCAAAAGAGTCTCAGGAATAGCCATGAGGTGAAGGAAAATTATTTTCTTATGAAATCAGAATTATAAATAATCAGGTACAACTATACACCAAATACCTTAAGAATTCCTTTTCTTGCATATATCGAGGTGATGAAATAATTAACAAAGATTCAAGTCATATTTTAATATATTTTGTTATTCAGACTTTTCATTAATACGATGGTCATTCTCCTTTTCCCAGCAGCTATTATGTTTTATTAACTTCTAATTTTACTGCATTATGATCAGAGAATATATTCTATATGAAGCCAATTTTTCTTTTTTTTTTTATTATTGAGATTTCCTTTGTGTAAAACGTTGAAATGGTTTGATTTTTCTCGAACTAGAGATACACTTGTTTTTGTTTTACCTGCTTGGGAGTTAGTGTACTTCTTCGATTTTTTTTATAATGGAAGACAAGAGTATTCCATTATAGAAAATTGCATTCCATTACAGAAAAGTCTTATTTTCTTCTAGAGTATTGCGCGTATTTTCTACTCTCACCCTATGACTCCCTGAGACATATTGGATGTATGTTGGACCTTCGCATTCTATATTCCACATCTCTGAACAACTCTTCCCTCTTTTCCATCTCTTTCTCTCTGCACTTCATTCTAGGTGATTGTCTTAATATGTACAGATATCTTCCAGTTTGCTAATTTTCTCTTTGGATGTTTCTAAAATGCTATTTAACCTATCCAGTGAGATTTTAATGACTATAATTTTCATTTCTTGACCTTTTCTTTTCAAATTTGCCTTTTTTTTATTTCCATGGTGTCCTATTGTTTCATTATGTTTTCATTTCTTTTTAAAAATCTCTTTGCTCATTTTATTTATTCCAGAGTATCTTTGATTTTGTTCTATTATCTGTATTTGTTTTGGTGCTAATTCTCTTGATTTTTGCCTTTGATGACTCCCCATCATGGTAGCATTCCTTGTGTAGTTTACAACATTTTGTTGCCATTGTTGTGAATTCATCTTCAGTGAGTTCAGTTGTTTTTCAGAGAGCAGCTTGTTATGGACTAAATTGTGTCTCCTGTCCCCTAAAATGCATGTGTTGAAGCTCTAAACCCCAATGTGACTTATTTGTACACAGGGCTTTTAAAGAAGTGAGTAACATTAAATGAGGTCATAAGGATAGGGCCTAATCCAATCTCACTAGTGTCCTTATGAAAAGTGAAAGAAACATCAAAGACGCATGCACACCGAGAAAAGGCCATGTGAACAAGCAGCAAGAGAGGGGCCACCTGCAAGCCAAGGAGAGAGGCCTCAGGAGAAAACAAACCTACCAACACCTTGATCTTAAACTTTCAGCCTCCAGAACTGTGAGAAATCACACTGCATTACTTAAGCCACCCAGTCTATGGTATTTTGTTATGGCAGTCCCAGTAGACTATGATAGATTCTGACCCCTAGGTTGTGAAAGTGACCTAACAGAAGCCTTTGCATTTGCTTCTATCAGATTCTTATGGGTTTCAAGGCTCTAGATCTACTTCTATGTTAACATATTGGCTTAGAGAATCCATTCCAAGAAAACAGACTTAGGGTTAGATTTCTATGCAAATAGTGTAAATTCAGACATGCCAATATGTTGCCCAGGCTAATGTCAATTTCTTTAAGATGATATCTCATCTCTGGCCTGTGCCTACTCTAAGGCTCAGCAACAGCAAACATCCTTGCTCCTTCCACAGGTCAATGAGTGAAATTTTCTAGCTCTTCTTCTGAGGCTCTAGGCTTTCTGCAGGGGTCTGGCTTCAGCTTCCTTGCCAGTGGGTCTAAGGCCTCTCCTCCTGTCCCTGGCTCTACCTTCTCCCGCGCCCATCCTCATCCCCAGGGGCCTTTATCTGGGGCTAAAACCCCCACAAATCTAGGCAGCATCAGCTTGCACTTATTGCATTGGTTTCTTACTTTGTTTTTGACATCTGGGGAGTTTGTTGCTTCATTCTGTCCATCACTTCCAGGAATTTTAGTAGGAAAGGAGTCTTTCCATATCATATTTGTCTACCATGTCCACTTTCGAATTGTGTTCCAGAGGGTATAGATTTTTTTTCTAACGTACTAGAAGTAAATTTGTCTTCATAGAGTAGGATTATGTAAGTTAGTAGTCAGCAAATACATCATAATTATTTTTTTAAAGGTTATATTGTCGGTAGAATAAATTAATTTTAGAATAAATAACTTTCAATAATATGATGAAACTATCATCAGGGACATTATTTCTAGACTTGATATCAGTGTGATATACATATAGATTTGTGGTTTCAGAGATGGCAAATGTAAAATACATATAAAAATTATAAGTTGAAAAGCAAGAAAAAGTCTTCATTTGTGCTCATATTATAATTTATAAAGTCATTGAAATCTCTATTGGCTTTTAATGTACTGCTATGGACTGAGTCCCTCAAAATTCATATGCTGAAACCCTACCCCAATGTGATGGCATTAGGAGATAGGGGTTTGGGAGGTCATTTCAGTTAGAAGAGTTCATGGGGGTGGGGCCTCATGGTGGGATTAGTGGCTTTATATGAAGAGGAAGAGAGAGTTCATTCTCTTTCGGCCTTTTGAGGACATAGGGAGGCCATCTACATACCAGAGAGAGGGCTCTCACCAGGAACCAAATCAGCCAGTCTCTTGATCTTGGACGTCCCAGCTTCCAGAACTGAGAGGTAAATGTCTGTAGTTTAAGCCACCCAGTCTACGGAATTCTTTTAATAGCAGCCAGAGCTGACTATTACACATATATCCAGCCATAATTTGCTTTCCTACCAACTGTTTTTCATGTGTATGCTATCCCTATATACTTACCACATAAGTAATAAAATGATATTTATCATAATCCATACAGAGAGTATTTAACATTCAGTCAAGTTTCTGAAACCCATTTTCCCCATTTAAAGCTCTCTTGACCCAAATGTTCTCTATCTTATTCAGCTATCTGAAGTTTCATGAAGATTAATGCATTCAAGAGCTCATACCACCAGACTTCATGCTAGGGGGTGTCAGATGATCTTACCAGCATGTAACCACCCATAAGCAGCATGTCCTGGCACTGAATGGGTGAAATGTACTTGCTGTGAGACCTTTACAGCGTTCTGTGCTCTCTTACGAACCTGGTTTGTAGGAGGATGAAGGAGGAGAAGCATAATGCTCTCTCTTACTAAGGCATTGTGGATTCAAGCAGTGAAGTCCATTGTATAGAAAGTCTATGTTCTCTAATAACCAACTAACAGCTAGTAGAGGGATTAAAGGAGGCTATGAACATTGCTCCAGAAGGAACCAGGAGATTTGCTGCCTTTGCAAACTGTTCCATTACAGCTTCAGCCTTACCCATAATTCCAGTTGTCCTTAAAAAATTCCAGTTGTCCTCGAAACTTTATATTGGCTCATCCTCTTCATTTCTATCACAAAGCAAGTAGTTTGGGTATTATTATCCCAATGCCATTTAATTTCCTAAAATGATGACGAAGCAAGTCATGCTGTATTTGTGCAAATTTCTTCTTAAAATAGGCATCTGGAGTCTGCCTTCTCCCACAGTGGTCCTGAATCAGTAGCATGGACGTTTCCTGGGGCTTCTCCAACGCAGCATGTTGGGCCCCGCCCCAAAGCTACCAAATCAGTTTCTCCAGTTTATCAAGATCTCTAGGCGACACACAGGCACATTCGAGTTTGAGAAGCACTGGTTTAGAGTACTGTGCTCTCCACACAATAGGGGGTAGCTCTTTGACTCATTAATAATACCTCGGGAACAAGATGAAGGTTCTCCCATAAACTTACCTAACAGGGCATTTTGATATTCTAGTAACAATTAGGAATCACAATAGGATTTCTTTTTCCATGTATAAGCAAACCTAATATTTAAGTCTATAAATGAATCAGAAAAATTGTTTCCATTTTGACTTCATATGAATGCGGTCTCGCTCGCAACGGCTAAATGGGAAGCAAAGAACTATTTCCTTTCAGGTTAATGGGTTTCCCCTCATCAAGCTGTCCTTTCATGTAATCTAGACTTGCCTCCACTCTCTTATTTTTTTCTAATAACTGTTCTTCTCTTTAATAGGATTATTCATCCTTCCAATATTAACAGCAATTAGACTCACCTCATGGTGCGTCATGCCAACTCAATCTGCGACTGTCAGAGAAGGATGATCTTAGTCTTGTCTCAGTAACAATCTTTGACAACCAAAACAGAGCAGCAGGCAAAATACATGAAGAGAATTAACAATAAAAGATCACAGATGACAAAAACTTCTCGAACGTGATGGCTGCCTCTGTCTATTCTATCCACATGGAAACAGTGGTGTTCACGGTGCAAGGACTGACGACATTGTGACATAGTCTTAAATTGTATTTTTCAGAAAAGTTTTTAGAGACGACTCTTTAAAAGCCTTAGAAACATTAACATTTTTTCCAATTCTAATTTATTTAATTTTATTGGAAAACATTTACATAGCTCATCAGCAGACTCTCTAGTATTAAGTAATATTTAGCATGCTGTAATCATGGGAAGGAGAAATTTGGATTAAATGCTGCTTTTTATTACTATTCAATCATCATAAGTTGTTCCACTTTTTATCTTTCTAGTCAACAGATTTCAAAGGTGGGAAAATATCTTCATTTACAGACATACCTATATTTATTTCCTATTATATTTTCCATTAGTGTCTGCATGAGATTTATTCCCGGTGATTCCCAGCAAAGTAAATGTGAATCTCCTACCACCAGATGCTAATAATAAAGACAAATGCACCCTATCTCTTAGCGATGTTACAAAAATAAATTAGATCATATTTACAGGGGAATTTGACCTCACTAGAGATAGTATATAAATGAAATGTGAAAAAAAAAAAACTTTAAAGAACAAAAAATTCCACTCAATCGTAGCCAGATTGACTTGACAGCACCAAATTCTGTTCTGAGTAAAGAAAACAGGCCTACTAATAGTGGTTCCGCTGGCTGTGGACAAATGCCAAATACTGACAATGAATTCCAGGTCTGGGCTGAAACCTCGGGCATCGGTTTGGATATGTACAAAATGAGCTCTTTGTCTTTTTCTCTACGTCTACATTTATTATCCTTGGAATATTGGTAAAGCCTAGCATATGCTGGAGTGCATTATCAAAGTTATTTTAAATCTTTTTCTGCATTTAAGAACATATATGGATTGTTAATAAAGCAAATGGAAATTTTGACAGAGGTAACACATATACATCGAGACAAACTCTTTTTACATTTATATTTTCGAAAACCAAAAGGGAACTTTTTGCAGGACAGTGGACAAAGAGGGAATCTGGTTGTTCTATACTGAAAGGCAAAGTCGTCCTCACAGGTATGGAGAAACCATCATATTTTTTCAATGAAATTATCTGGGGGACATGGGAAAGTCACTCAATCCCACATACTTTCCAAACACCCAGCCACACTGCTCCAGATTCTACCATTTAAAATTCTTCTGAATCAAGGGAAGTGGCTGCATATTCATGGAAAAGGGCAAGATTAAAAACTGTAGGATAAAAAAAACAACTGTAGGATGATGAAGACATTCAACAATGTGATAAACCAACACTTGTGGTATACCTACTATGTGCCAGGCACAATTCCAACTGCTTTACCAGAACTATTTCATTTAATTCCCAGTTCGACTCTATAACAGGTACTATTATTACCCCAATGTTACAGATGTGGAAACAGGCACAGAATGGTTAAGAAGCCTGCCCAAGTTTATAGAGGCTACAAAGGGCATATCTGGACTCCTACCCTGGCAGTCCAATGCTAGAGTCTGTACTCAGAACAAACATGTTTTCCTACAAGTGTGTGACTTAGCACCATATATACTGTTAAAAATGAGGTAAATATTTTACAACCTTTCGCATAATGAAAAATGTGAAAACAGAAACATTTTAGATTGTGTTAGATTGTGTTTGAGCAATTGTTGCATTTTTCTAGAAAAATCAAGATTTTAATATTAGGGCAGCCTCCATCTTTCCATTTCAGAGGACTCGTGAACAACAAGCGTTCATTGTACAATCTTATTGTGCTGAAACTGTTCACCAAGAACGCAGCACTAGGTAACATGCTAAAAGGATAGGTCTCTTGTGGAACCAACAGCAGACATTTGGGTAGAAATGAGAAATACAACACGGAAATGAATTTAGAGATGGAAATATCAGAGGAGCTTAGATAATATACTGTGAGTAATTGACATCTATTACATTATTACTAACTTCTGTAGTAAGGGGCCACTACGGACCTTAGAATGGAGAACAGATTCTTGATACAATGTAAAAAAAAACAAAAAGGCCTTGAAAATTGTTATCTAATATTAGATAGGCAGAAGTATGTGCTGTACATGTTTTTTGTTTGTTTGTTTTGTTTTGATTTATCCCATAAAACATATGGTTTTTAGAAAGAAATGAACTGATATCCCAGTTTCCCCGCTCCTAACAGAACACAGTAATACAGTTAAGTACAAACCTTTCCATAGCAACAGACACTGTATACAGACACGAACCCTATGCATCTCCCTTGAAGAAAGCTTTAAGGTTATCACGGACAAATTCAAAATAAAGCCTATGATCCCATCCCCCTGAAGCCTGCTTCCCCAACGGGCTCAAGAAAGGATACATTGACAGATGACTCACCATGGCTTCCTATAGCTCATTTCTTTGCCTTCTTTTTCCTTTAAATGGAGCTTCAGCCTTAATAGTTACAAAGGTTTCAAGAGGGAAGACTAGCACCACCTGAAAAAGAAAGGCCAAAAATCCAATACAGTCTGGTTTGCAGAAGTTCAGCCCTGGGCTTATCGAATAGCGTTGCGGGTAGTGGTTTCTCTACGTTCATTCCTTCTACCCTTCACTGTTTTATTTAGTGCTTTTCCACTCTATGGACTGTACGAGAGCACTGGCTACCTGGTTAGCTACCATTCTAAAAATAGGTATTTTATACAGGGGAAAGGGCAACTTTGGGGATGATATCTTAAACTATTTTCGTAAGTGCATATAAAAAACATGATATTAGGCTGAATCAGGGGCAAACTGGGCTTCTGCACAGAGTTGTGTATGCAAACTATAATTAGATTCCCAAAACACTTGCCTGTGCAGAGTGGATGCCTCCCTTTGCTCACCCCAATTAGGCAGGAGGCACTGCCTGGGGCCGGAGAGTAATCTACTCACTATTGTCTCAGTGTGGGGAGAAGCGAACAGCTCTGTGCAGCTCACATTGTGCTTTGTTTTTAACATGCGGAACTAGGCTTGCAGACGCTATCGATTACGCTTAGGAGAGAGGAAGTTAATGATATGTTGCGAGTATACATACTATATTTCATCCCAATTCAGGTTTTTAAACAGCATCCTCCTCCAAACAGTCTACTCTAAAGGTTGCATGTGGAAAAGTGAAACAGATGGTCCAGTTTTATATTTCTTTTCCTTTAGAATTTCTTATGCAGCTCAGGGACCTTGGTCTTCTGGGATCTCAAATTATATTTCAGCCCATTATACATATATCAGTGTTGATACTAAGACGGTATGTAAGAATTATTCAAAATCCACATGGCCACAGCCTTTGCTGGTTCTTAGCATGCCATGTGCTGTTCATTTTAATTGAAAATATTCTAAAAGCAAGATTGATGTGTTTTTCTATCCCCCTAAAATAGAAACAGGTTCTGGGCTCATAATTGAGCGCTCATAAGCCCCTCTTCTTATTAACATGCCCTCTCTAATTTGTGCCTCTGTTTGCACAATATAAATGGCCTTTAACAGCCCTTCATTCATACAATGGTCTCACTAACCCAAAGAAAATTAGTAGCAGGCAAAAGCCTATTTTTACTGACACAGAGACAAAAATGCTAATTACTTTAAAATATTCTCAAGTGTATATCTTTGGCATCCTTCCAGGCAAGGCTCAAAAGTTTTTTTTCTCCCCCTGTTATTTACTAGTTATAGGGGAAGTTGTTTTTGTTTTACATTCAGTCATATATTTAAGTAAGTTTATATTTATAATTTGAAATCTTTTGAGTCCAGAGTACCAGTGCTAGGTGAAGTGTTGGTTTGCTTTCTGTTCACTCATGGGTACATTTGAGAACATTGTCCATTTGTGATTAATTATGTTTCTGCTATTTTTGTTAAGGCACTCGGGGACATTTGCAGAAAAATAAATGCCTAGAAATTTGAATTTGTTTTATTTAAACATATTAACTACAATAAAATATTAATATTTCCTCAGTATCTCTTTTAATTTTTCTCTGATTATTAAACTTGAATTCAAGTTTATACTCTGAAGCACCTCCTTTTGAAAATGGTTTTAAAACCGAAACCGCTGATGCACAAAATAATAAAGAAACAAAACTCAATGCCAACTTACTAAATTATGATATCAGGTGTGCTGACAGTATTTACATAAAGATGATGACTTTTTTCATTTATGCAACAAATTTTTATTGAGGATGTATTATTTTCAGAATATTGTGCTAGACCTGGTTTATAAAAAATAAATAAGGTAAAAGAGAGTTTAAAATGGAGTTTGGAGAAAGAGTCCATTGATGGATAAATGGATAAAGAAAATGTGATATATATATATATATATATTTATGTGTGATATATGTGATATACATATATATATATATATACACACACACACATATATATATATTCCTATGTGTGTGTGTGTATGTGTGTATGTCACATACACACACACACAGGAATATTAATCAGCCATAAAAAGAAGGAGATCCTGCCATTTGTGACAACAAGATGGCCCTTGAGGGCTTTATGCTAAGTGAAATAAGTCAGACAGGGAAAGGCAAATACTTTATGATCTCATTTACATGTAGAATCTAAAAAGGAAAACAAAAAAGGTAGCTCATGGACATAGAGAACAGACTGCTGGTTGCCAGAGGTGGGGGTGGGGTGGGCACAGGAGTCGGTAAAATGAGTGAAGGGGGTCGAAAATACAAACTTCCAGTTATAAAATAAGTGCCACGGGGCTATAATGTCCAGGGTGGTGACTCCACTTAATAACACTTAACTGCACATTGGAAAGTTGCTAAGAATGGGTCTTAAAAGTTCTCATCAAAAGAAAAAACTTTGTAACTATGTACAGGAATGAATGTTAACTAGACTTACTGTGGTGACCATTTTGCAATATATACAAATATCAAATTATTATGTTGTACATTGGAAACTAGTATGTTACATGTCAATTATACTTCAATAAAATTTTTTTAAAAAAAATCTAGTTTGAAGAAAAAAATGTATTCTCACTAAAAATCAAATAACAGTATAGAAGTTTAGAAACAGTGGACAACAACGGAATATAAGAAATCACAAATCAGTGTAAGGTGAAGTGGTAATTAATGGTAAAAAAAAAACACAAAACCACAAGTGGCGTCCAACTCAATAATACGGCAATCAATCCAGTTTTTAAAAACAGACAAAATATTTGAATAGACATTTCAATCAAGAAGATATATCAATGGCTAATAAGCACACGAAAAGATGCTCAGTGTCATTAGTCATTAGGGAAATGCACATCAAACTGCAATAAGATATCACTACATACCCACTAGGATGGCTACAGTCGAAAAGATGGATGATATCAAGTACTGATGAGGATGTGGAGAAACCAGAACCCCCGTACATTGCTGATGGAAATATAAAATGATATAGCTGCTTTGGATAACAGATTGGCATTTTCTTAAAAAGTTAAGCATAAATTTATCAGAAAGCCCAACAATTCACTCCTACGAATCTGCTCAAGAGAAATGAAAGCACATAGACAAAGATATGTACCTGAATGTTCATAACAGCATTTTTCATAATTCAGAACAACACAAATGTCTGTCAACTAACGAATGGATAACTGAAATGTGGTATATGCGTACAATGGCATACTATTTAGCAATAAAAAGGACCCAAGTACTGGTATATGTTACAACATGAATGGATCTCAAAAACATAAGCTAAATGGAGGAAGCCAGATGCAGAAGACTACATCTGTATGTCTCCGTTTACATGAAATGTCCAGAAAAGGCGGTTTTATAGAGATAGTAAGCACATCAGTGATTTCTTGGGGCTGAGAGATTAACTGCAAACGCACATGAGGGAACTTTTTTGGGTCATGGAAATGTTCTAAAACTGGATTCTGGTGATGGCTGTGCAAGTGTATACATTCACCAAAAATCAATAACATGTTTGCCTATTGATTTTATGATACATAAAGTATACTTCAATAAAGATGTTAAGGAAAAAAACCAGTAGGTGTCATATGTTTTCATAGGAATGGTTCAAGGTAGTTACCTGACATTTTCAATGCAGAAAAGTAATTCAAACATATATCTATATAAACAGATATGAATAATTCTTCATAGTTTGCAATGTCCCTTACAATTTTCTAATTTATTTGTTCTTCACACCAATCCAGTGAGGGTGAGCAAGTATTATGTAATATATAGTAAGCACTTTTCTTTTTCCTTTTAGCTTTGGTCTGAGGAAATCTTCAATGGTGTATAGATCATATAATTTAAAAATCAAGGCCATCCTGGATAATGTAATCTGAATAAAGTGGATAGTGAGCATTATCATTGCTCCAAGCACCCAGGCGCTTTTACAAAGACAACCAACCTCCATTTGCCAAACTATACTACACTCCAGGTAAGCCTCCAACTGGAAGTTCATTACAGGATGTTGTCGATAGGTGAGGCTGAGGGACCTCACCTACGGGCACCCCTTGTGCCTCCGCCTCACTGGAGACTGCGGTAGTTGCTCTAACAAATGCATTTACAAATATTAAAATGCATGTAATATAATTGTATAGACAACGACGCACACAGCAGCTAACGTTCCAGGAGCTAATATTCCCCAGCGGAAACAAAGCTGCCAAAAACTCAAAGATGGAAACTAGTGTATTAATTTGTTCATAGTGATCCTCTAGTATTTCTCTTGAAAATTCAAACAGAACTTAAACAACTCTAACTTAACCTGAAACAGAGAATGACATGTTTAAAGAAATGACTTATAAAGTGTTCCATTAGGTAGTTTGAAAACGTTTGTGGCATATGCACGAATACACTTAGACTAGTTAAAAATCACAGGAGCCTCCCTTATTTTGATAATACATACACAAGACAGGCCAAACTCAAAGTCCTTTGCATCCGGCTTGAGATTTAAAGCTCTCGGTCTGTGAGAAGGTCAGTCTCTGAGATCATCTCTCCCAACTTCTGCTCACAGTTAGGTGGGAAAGGAGCCCTCAGAGGTGGAAGAAGAAAAGACTTTTCTATAACAAAGTGTAGATTCTTCTAAGCTTTCCCATCTCAGCCTCATGGTCGTTAATCTGTGTTCATATTCTTATGCAATCTGCTTTCCAGAGAAGGTATGAGTGTTTTGTGTCCCTTAGTGTTCTTTGTCCCCCTGTATGACCTCCGGAAATCCTTTCGCAGGGGACATGTGATGCTTAAGGACGCTTCCATGATCTCTGATCTAACACAAGCCATGCTTCTGGACTACGACTAAAATGTGAACCAGACTGTTAGTCTAAACAAATGTAGACATACTCAACTGATTTCAATTAATTTTGATATTTACAAGTTGTAAGAATTTCATATTAACTTATACAATGCAATACGTATAGTATTGGGAAAAGCATGTGACTCAGGGGCAAGAGAATTGTGTTCCGGAGTACACCCCCATAACTTCGGTGAAGTCCCCCAGCTTTAAGTATTTCAGTGTTCTCGACTGAAAAAAAAAACAGTGCTTTTGGATGAAATAGTTTCTAAAGTCTTAATCATAACTGACAATCATTTCTTGAGATGCTATTGTTATTCTACAAGATAGAAATATTTATCTAAATATTGTATTTGGGCTTAAAATGTGCTCTGGCCTTTTCTATACAGTTAGGATTTTAAAAAACAGAATTTCAAACTCAGACACAGAATCCCTTTGCACTGTCTTAAAATACCACAAAAGTTGCAGCTTGAGAGTAAGAATGATAAAGATAGGAACCAGATATTAACTGAATGACATTTCACAAATATACACACAAACGCATAGATACATGCAACTGCAAGGAATGTCATCTCAAAGGCCCATCTGAGGGCCGAAAAAATAATATCTGTTCTTCCACTGCCCCCTTAACACCTGTTTTTATTTATTTGGCTTCTATTTAATATTTTGTTTGGAACTTTTCCTTGGATAAATGCAGTCGGAAAAGCACTGCACTACATAACGTAAAAGATTTTGCTTAAATACTGCACTTGAAGAAAGTATTGTTATTATACATACCACTTCAAATATGTCATCTGACAAGTTTCTCCAGCAAAAACCAAAGGTTAGAAAATAATTTTCCATTTAGAGTCTTTTCCAAGACTATAAATGACATGCTATATTTAATTTTAAAGTCCCTGTACAAATCATCAAATACTTTAATAACTGTACAAATATTAATATTTGATTCAAGGGATCTCCTAAGTTATGGCATAATCAGAAGTCTGGATGGATAGGCTGCTAAATGGGAAAATCCTGTTTAGACAGTTGTTAAGAGAAGGGAGAGCGTTTAATGAAACAATTTTGATAGTCTTATCATCATAAAATTGATTGATATTTGGTGCAATTTAATCTTTGCCAGAAAGAACTTTGAGAAGAGGAACAATCCGTAACCTAGATTAATCCTCCATACTTCCCCTTCAATCCAGTTCATCGATCTTATTCTGTGAATGGGCCCTTGGTCCGCTGGTTATAACAAATGCCTTTTGCAACATCATGTAAGAACTTAAGAATTGGTTTCTAATTTAATTTTTTTAAGGACACGTTGTCAATGTTGATTTGTAAGGGTGTAAATAAAAGACTACCCCACTTTGAATATCACTGACTTTCTATATTCACTCAGAGAGCATAACAAAATAGTAAAAATAAAATATAATCTTTGTGTCATTTTCCCTAGGACTTTGAATCTATTTACCACCCCGGTAGGTTACTGAGAGACTTTGTGAAATAAAGGATAAATTATTTCAGCCACAGGATTTTCTCATTTCAGTTCCTTAGAAGTCTGTATTTTCCCCATAATAATAGATGGATTTAGATTCCTCTGTAAAATGCTTAGGGACTACTGAGATTAAGTGCTATAAAAATGACCGCTATATTGGAATAAAGTGGAAAGGAGTCCTTTCCTCCACACAGGACACCCACTAGTAAGTGACAGGAGGTGGAAAAGCAGCTGGTGTCACCACGAAGATCACCAGAGAATGTCCTGGAGAGTCATGTGCAATGGAGTCATTTCTCCACTTTTTTCAAACCCCATGGGGCTTAATATTCTCATCAATTTGGGCTTGCACCTCTTGGGTCTGACTTGTTTAGATCACCGTACAAAGCAGAGGGAGAAAGATTTCCTTTATGTTTGGTAAGTGATTCGCTTTCTTTTTGTTTTCTTCCTGCAACACAGCCTCTGTTTTTCCTAAGTTCTACTCTAACGAAAAGGCGAGCCTCGATAAAAATCAACCAGCTCATTCCAGAGTGGGCTGGGCCTTCCACAGGTCCCACTCCCACCTACTTTTGTTGCTGTTCTTGTTGGGAACCTGATTTGAATGGGCGGATCATACAGAACAGGCTTTTTGTGTGATTGTGGGGCTGTTCCAGGGGTTTGAAGTGAAGCCACGGTAAGCTACCTTCCTTTACCTCCTTTCTGTTGCTCTGAGTTCCTCTCCTGTCTCAACATACATACACGTCCCAGGGTCTCTGAGTTCTCCCTAGGGAAAGTCAGCACAACCTGGAAAATTACAACAAATGACATCTCTGCAGCCGGATTCAAAAGCATGTTAGTTGCTACAGCAGCAGGAGATTTGCAGGTAGACAGGCTCACAGAAAGAAACAGGAATGGCTGACTACCCCGACACTATAATTTTTAAGAGTCTTAGTAAGAAACAACTATTTTACCAGAAATGTAAAAACATTAGAGAGCTAGGACAAAATATGATTTCACATAAAGATAAGGGAAACAGAGAACAGTAAGAATTAATTGCTTCCTTTGAATCGGAATGTTCATTTTGACTATATCGCTTTAATCCTAGTGACTATTCAAGTTGGTGGCAGAGCTCTGAAGCATCTGAAGCATTATTTCTGTTTGACTGTGAGTTGGCTGGGCTTCTAAAGATGATGACGGGGAGGTAAGGGGCTGGAGGGAGTGAAGAGGTTTCCTAAGCCTGCTGCCCAGAATTCCGTGTCACCCCTTTCCTCCTTCCTGTGCTAGCCAGGAATACTAGGCTGGGATGCTTTGCACTGTGAAACTTGCATAACACAGGCAGGTCACCATCGCCTAGCTCTGGTGGCAAGCTTGCAGGATTGCTCCAGAGAGACTCTGGCATATGCCAGCAGAGGAGGAGAAAGTTCCACAAACAACCCCCGGATCCCTCCACCCAGGTCTCATTACACCTCGTTTCCCAAGAGCAGATTGCTTCGCCAACCTTAATAATCCCGGAGGACGCCAGGGCAGGAGGCGGGAGCCGACTACCTTCGCCCTAATTTATCGAGGGCTTTAAAAGTAGAAAATAAAACTTTGAACTCAACGCATCTGAAGCTTTATGATTCAGGTGTGTTACCTGCCTTCAGGGGCACCAAAGATCACTGAAGTTAAAGTGACAAAAAAAAAAAATCCTGTGAGCTGCAGAACAAAAAAGCGTGTCCAGACCCGACCCAGCTGGTTCTCCTACAGCATTAACTTGGCAGGAGGAGCAGAAGGGCTGGCCCTGCCCTCTCCTTTTCTGATGGGTAGGATTTCCCCTACTTACAGTCCTTTAATCCTCCCTCCTCTCCAGCCTTCCAGAGTCTAGAAGAAAGTGACCTTGTGGAGAAAGAAGCAGAAAGAAGAGGGAGAGAACAGTAGGAGAAGGAAATGAAAATAGCTCGTGAGAAATGGCTGGAGAGAAAAATACAGTCATCTCTCCATATCCTTGGGGGATTGGTTCCAGGCCCCCTGTGGATAGCAAAACCCAAGGATGTTAAAGTCCCTTATATAAGGTAGCATAGTATTGGCATATAACCTACCTACATCCCCCCACTTTAAATCACCTCCATATTATTTACAATAATATCTAATACAATGTAAATGCTATGTTAATAGTTCTGATGTATCATTTAGGGAATAAAGATGAGGATAAAAGTCTGTACACGTTTAGTACAGACAGACGAAACCATCGAAACCATTGGAGGCCTAACTACACAGCAGCAACGACATAACATTTTTTCCCCAAATATTTTTAATCTGAGGTTGGTTGAAACCTCAGATGCAGCACCCTCGATATGGAAGGCTAAAGGGCCAAGTGTATTGGGTCAAGGGTGAAGTCTCTTTTAATTCACATAGTACTGAAGCTTGGAGTTTCTAAGTAGCTGGCCCTGAAGTAGCTAGTCTGTACAATTTTATCCAAACAGCGGGCCCCCTAAGCCTTTTTTCCTTATCTTACAAGGCAGTTATTAATAGCAACCCCATTCAGCTGCGTGAGGACGCAAAGAGCTCATTTTTGTCCACGTGCCTAGCATGGTGCCTTGTCATAGTAGGTGATGAATTTAATTCTGAAACTAAGAACGCACTGTTATTCAAGAGAAAGCAATTGGGTGATAGTTCACGTTAGATGTAGCTATTTGGGTTACCGAGAAAGGCAGGCGCAAAAGGAAGGGCGATTTGGGGCCTAGCCAAAGGGGAGGTGGACATCTCTTCCTTGCCCTGGCAGCTTCCAGACTTTTCCAGAGGCCCACATCTCTCATCTCCCCAGGGAGGGCCTGGAGCAAGGGCCAGATTAGGCTACTGAGCACTTTCTTTGGGAAGAAAGGGAAACTATTAGCAATTCCTACCCACCCAACATGTGTCTGCGTGTGAGTGTGTCTGTGTGTGTCTGAGTGTTAGAATGTGGGTGTCAGTGTGTGTGAATATGTCTGTGCGTGTTTGTGAGTGCGTGATGTATGAGAGTGTCTTACCTGAGTTTGTGTGTGAGAGTGTGCACCTGTGTGAGTGTGTTGCGGTCGGGCTGGGATATTACCTAGTTCCTTAGAGGTCCTTATTAGCAATGCAGACAGTGCACAGTATGGAGGCGCTGGGACGTGCCAGGCAGACGGGGGTGTTTTCACAGAGCCGTCCCGAGTATCGCCCGGCCCTGCTGCGCCAAATCCTCTGGTAGGCCGACAGAACTGGTTTCGCCCCTCCCCAGCCCGTCCCGGGCCGGGAGAGCGGTTGCGGGTGGGGAGAGCGGAGGTGCAGGCCTCAGCGGCCCAGCCCTTCCAGGCCAGCTGCCCAGACTC